TACATTACATACATTACATACATTACATACATTACATACATTACTACATTACATACATTACATACATTACATACATTACATACATTACATACATTACATACATTACATACATTACATACATTACATACATTACATACATTACCATACATTACCATACATTACATACATTACATTACATTACATACCATTACATACCATTACATTACATTACATTACATTACATACACACATACACACATACACACATAAACACATACCACACATACCACACATACACTCCATACACTACATACCATACATTCAATACATTACATACATTACATACATTACACACATTACACACATTACACACATTACATACATTACATACATTACACACATTACACACATTACACACATTACACACATTACACACACATTACACACATTACACACACATTACACACATTACACACATTACACACATTACACACATTACACACATTACATACATTACATACATTACATCTATTACATGCATTACATCTATTACATGCATTACATGCATTACATGCATTACATGCATTACATGCATTACATGCATTACATTTATTACATGCATTACATGCATGCATTACATGCATTACATGCATTACATGCATTACATGCATTACATGCATTACATGCATTACATGCATTACATGCATTACATGCATTACATGCATTACATGCATTACATGCATTACATGCATTACATGCATTACATGCACTACATGCATTACATCCATTACATACATTACATACATTACATACATTACATACATTACATACATACATTACATACATTACATACATACATACATACATACATACATACATACTTACATACATACATACATACATACATTACCTTTATACAATGCATACATACATACATACATACAAAAACACAAAACATAACATAACATAGCAAAAAAATACATTACACTACATAAATACATACATACATACATACTTACCTACATACATACATACATGCATACATTACATACATACATACATACAAAACATAACATTACTTAAAAACGCATACCAGACAATAACAAAACGCTACATACATACATACATACATACATACATACATACATACATTACATACATTACATACATTACATACATTACATACATTACATACATACATACATACATACATACATACATACATACATACATACATACATACATACATACATACGTACACACACACACATACATACATACATACATTACATTACATTACATTACAATACATTCCATTATATTACATTACATTACATTCATACATACACACACATACATGCGTACGTACATACATACATTACATGCATGCATGCATGCATGCATACATACATACATATACACACAGACATGCATACATACGTACATACACACATACATACACACATACACACATACATACATACATACATACATACTTACAGACAAACATACATACATACATTATACATTACATTACATTACACTACATTACACTACATTACACTACATTACACTACATTACATTACATTATATTACATTACATACATACATACACATACATACACACACATACATACATACATACATACATACATACATACATACACATACATACACATATATACATACATACGTACGTACGTACGTACGTACGTACATTACAGACAGACATACATACATACATGCATGCATACATTTATATATTTAATATATATATATATAATTTTATATACACAGCCTATGAAGGCAAACTAAGGCACTGAAGGCAAACTCAGGCAAAAAAAAAGCCTGCGGCTATTGCAGCATGCTATTGTCATAAAGCCCTGCGGCAGCACCGCTTCTGAATAAAGGTGAAAGGGAAAGTGACAGAAGTCACCAATGCCGATGCGACCAGATGACCCAGACAAGACCAACGTGTTGAATCGCGTTGAAACTCTTTTCAGTGACCATTGCCACCAAATATGCTCCTCCCAGTCCGTGTATCCTGGTGTACACTGGACATGGAGGCCCTACTCGACCCTACCTGCTAGTTGGTGTGTCCAACAGTGTACATGAACCATCAATGAACCTTTTGCTGGCGAGTCCAACCCAGTAAAACACTGCTCACTCACCGGAATCGAGGCTGAAATCAAACCTTAGCAGGAACATGCGGGAGATCCAAAAAAATCTAGACAAAGGAGGTTGGAGACACGTTGGAGATAGCAACTTGGCAAACAGAGTGTGAGAGTATGCCGCCTTGTGTATTCTCATAAGGCGGTAACTTCTTTTTCCGCCTGAGCTCTTCTTCTTCTGGATCGTCCTTGCCAAACAAAGCGGTAGGAAGAACAACATGCCGTAATTCATAACCTGAAGGAAAGTAAGCAAGTTTGATCTGATCTTGCTTCTTCAGCGCCCTGCGGCAAGCACTTATATACTTCACTCTACTTGCTGAAGCCCCTCAATGTTGCTAAGACTTTGGCCGGGGTTCGGATCTCCAGGGGATCGTTTCCATCTTATTGTTTCTTATTGCAACATGCATTGAAATTGGCCAAGATCAGTCCTTGGTACAGCAAAACAGCATGACTATGGCAATCAATGGCGACAGCGCCAACGTGATCTTAACCTCGGAAGGCAGTCATGTAAAGCACCCAGGTGAAATATCACAAAGATTCACCTAGTATATAATGTGAACACGTTTAAACTATTTAGGCTATTCCAGAATATGTTCAACAAGTGACTGTTCAACAAGTAATGTTCAATAATCCGCCGGCCCGCTGGCGTGTCTGATTGGAAGGTGTTGTTCCTGTCCTGTTCTTGGTTTGTACTTGTTCCACCTTGTTCCTTTCTTCTCTTGCTACGCGTTTTTGCTTCGTCTGAATCGTGTCCACACCCCCGCTCCTGGTTCTATAGTACTGGTGCTACAGTAGAAGTAGTGGTGATAGATGGTGATAGCACTGGTTCTAGCACTGGCACTAGCTACTGCTGCTGCTGCTGCTGCAGCTCCTACTACTACTACTACCCTACTGCTACTGCTCCCACTGCTACTTGAACTGCAACTGCAACTGCTACTGCTACTGCAACTAACTAACTAGCGAACGAACAAACGAACCAAAGAACTATCGAACTAACGAACGAACGAACTAGCGAACCAACAAACTCACGAACTAATTAACGAACGAACTAACGAACTAACGAACGAACGAACTAACGAACTAACTAAACTAAAACTAAACTAAACTAAACTAAAACTAAACTAAACTAAACTATATAAACATATATAAACTATAAAACTACACTAACTAACTAACCTACTGTGACTGCGACTGCAACTACGGCGGCGACTACGGCGATGACTACGGCGACTATTACAGCGACGACTACGGCGACGACTACGACTACTACTATTCCTATACTCCTACTTCCACTCGTTCCCCTACCCGTACTCTTACTCCTATACTCCTTCCTTCTACCCCAAGTACTAAACTAAACTGTTAGTGCCGGTAGCTAATGACACTGTCTACAGCACTAAAGTCGCCTACCCGTACTAGTCACGGGACGCACACGATACTAAACTGATCGATCCGTATTCATTTGGTATGCTGTCCAGAGGTTGCGCAAGCACGCACTTGCTCCTGAAGCCAAGCTGCTTCTGATCTACGGCTCTGTCTTCGTCTCCCCTTCTTCTTCCTCTCCTCTCCTCTCCTCTCCTCTCAGTTTTGATAGTACGAGTATATATTTGATATATTTGCACTTGTGCTTTTGTATGTTTTTGTGTCTGGATATGTTTGGAGCTAATGTTGCACCGAGAGCATGCCCACATTGCTGAGCTCCAGGCTATTCGCCAAGCAATTTCCAAGGCGGCGGCTGTGGGATCGGCCCAGTCCACGTCGAAGAAGCTCTTCCTCACAGATCTCACAGATCTTGCAGTCTCGCAGCAGCATCCCAGTCAGATCCCAGTCGCCCCTGTCCATATCGTCCCAGTGTGTAGTAACTTCAAACCGTTTCAAACCTGTCCTAGGGATTCTTCCTGGAGGCTCTTGTGGGTTCAATGACAACAGTTTGAAGCGAAACCCTGAAAAGGAAAGCATGGCAAACCCATTTGAAAAACACTGTTTCACATAGTGGAACCATGGCCTCTACGATGACAGTGTTTGGAACCTTCAACACCAAGACAACAGAAATAAGGCTACGGCCCTTCTGTAGAGACAGCTTGGGCAAGGCTAAAACAAAACGCCACGCTGATTGCCTTGAGCAGCATTTCTTTGCCGAGAGCAGGACTGTCTTGGGATGTCTTGCATGATCTCTTTGAAGGGTCTTGGAAGCTGAGATAAGCTGAGACTGGGACCCGCAAGTGCTGAGCTCTTGTTCGCAAAACCATCCTTTGATGAAAGGATATGATATGAAAGGAGCTTTGCCAAATTTGCTATTCCAAACATTTCAATACATTTCAAACAAATTTCAAACAAATTTCAAGGGTTGATTACCGAAAGGATCAGAAAGGCAAAGCAAGCAATGTTTTTCAAAGCAGCGCCAGCAAGTCTGAGGCGATTGCATGGGCAGCGCACCAATCAGCTGTGCTTCCAATACTCCAGCCAAAATGGCACGGCACACGGTCGAGCTCATGAATGCGAGCACACTAGTAATATTGTGGATGGAATAAATCATGCACCAGTTAGCAGTTGGCAGATGGTTTATCGCATTATACTGTTTCCAGTGTTTCATAGTTATCAATAGTTACCAACTGGTGCAGGATTTCTTCCATCCACATTATTTTTCAATATCTCGCAACCGGTTAATACTTATATAGTTCATCTCAGTGTCTTGCAACCTCCAACTACTTCCAACTATTAAGGCTCTCAGATCGGCTATCACTATCTGAATCTATCACATGCTATCATTGTCTGTAGTACATAATGTCAATGTCTGGCAGAATCTGTAGTCACTGCAATCTCTCTCGAGTGCAAAAACAAGTCTCGACAACCTCGCGTCCGTTCGCAGGGATGCACCGTTCGCTCCCAGCGTCCTTCTCAAGACTCCAAGACACTAGGGCTGTAACAACTCAAGAGATCAATCAATGGACATCCTACATGGAATGTAGTAAGTATTCAAGTGTATCTGGTACACATCCCTGATGTCACATGCAAACCTCTGATCAAGCTTCAAACATTGCAGTAGTCCTCGCATTGGACTAAAAGAGAGCGCTCTGCTCCGCTGCACAGGCTGCGTGACATTCCCTCTGCGGGTGCGGACTGAAGATCATACAAAAATCATACAAGCATGCAAGAAGGATCAAGAAATATCCGGGAGATATCAAGAAATCTAGGAACGGTATTGGTCAGGCATGTCCGATGTTCGCTCCAACTTGTTTGTTTTACGCACCCTTTCGCCTGGATCAACTGCTTTGGCTACCTGCAGTCCAACTGTCAGAGAAACTCACTGATCTCGAATGGATTGAAACATATTGAAACGATCTAAAATGAAAATATCTCACGTTTCAGAAAGTTTCAGATATGTTGTGTTCATGAAAGTTCCCGCGGGCTTGGCCTCTGTATTTGCATCTGAATAACCTCCAGCGATCGGTATCAAGACCATTCAAACACCATCGACACATATCAACAGATATATCAACAGTATATATTATATTCAATAGATTTCAATAGATTTCAATAGATTTCAATAGATTTCAATAGATTTCAATAGATTAATCAATAGATTTCGACATCTCAAGGTGAAAGGAAAAACGACTCCACAACATTCCAAGACCGCCTCGAGGCCAACAAACAGGCAAATCCCCCGTCGTGATGGCATCTCGCCTGGCCATGGCTCCCGGTTTTAGAGAGTTTCTTGGTATTTCTTGGTATTTCTTGGTGCTTTGATGATTTGTCGATTTATCAAATGATTTGTTTGCAGAAATGTTTGTCAATTTCGTGTGTGATTCCATGGTAGGTTCTGCGCATGTCTGTGCTTTGCGAATCTGCCTCGCACGTACTGGACCACCCTTCCGCATGGCATCCAGGGCTTCTGCTGGGGACTTCTTGCCAGAGGCAGGCCACACAGCAGGCGGGAAGCCTCTCGGTGCAACTTGTAGCCAGTCATACTAATTATATATATATGAAATATTAATATAAGTGATTCATCAATATTCATTTGTTTCTCACACATTCTCCTCTAAAATATACAGTTCATCTATATTCATCTATATTCATCTATATTCATCTATATATTCATCTATATTCATCTATATTCATCAACATATATCAACATATATCAACATAAAACATATCTCAACCTCAACTATTGCAAAAATATTCGACATGAACTCATCATGAACTCCGTTGAAATCCTGGCGTCCGGTTCGTGCCTTCACGGCACCTGCCTGGGCCAGGAGACCAGCAACGAACACCCTGGCACGAGATGGCACGCATGGCACAGCATCTCCACCGGGCGCTGTGTACTGTGCACAGTCGAGGCTCCATCGTCGTGCCAATGTCAGCATCTCACTCTCAAAATATTTCAAATTAGATAATTAGATAAAAGAAACTTGCCAAGTATGCAGAACTCACTAAGTGATGCTCAAAAACCAGGGAAAGCATTGGAAAGTAACAACAGTTGGACAATGTTGGACAGCAAAATAGCAGCTCATGGCTTCAAAAAATTGAACAAATTTCTACAAGTAGATTCAGCTAGCAGTGTAGACAGCATGAAAAGCTGCACTTGTGCGCTCTGGAGGGCTTAAGAGCATGGAACTAGAACGGACCTGTCAACCTGCTTGAATGGTACCTTTTTCCTAGACAGGTCCAAGTATCAAGGCGCAATTTTCAATACATCCACCGTTTCAAGCAGCAATTCAGTATGTTGCGAGACCTTTTGCTGCAAGGCTACTGCTCTGTACATTATGTACCAGTGATGAACAAGCCGATAACACCACAGTCACCAGATGTCACCAGCAACATGATGTTCACATACACGTCATTAAAAACTTTATATAAAAGATATGTCGCAAGACCCCGCAAGAACTCTGCAAACTGAGAAGAACAGCATTGGACAGCATTGGACAACATGAGCAGGATGGGACATCAGTGACACTATGTGACACGTGATGTGCCTGCCGCCAACGAGGGCTACGTGGACTTCTTGGCCAAGGAGACCTTTGATTTTGATTGAATGGTCATGGACAACATGGAAAGACAGCACTTTCGTAGCAAAAAAACATTTAAAAAAAAAAAAAAAAACCTTCTGCGAAGAGCGAATAGTAGTCGCGGTGAACAAAGCCCCTTTTTTGCCATGGTCAACCGGGTGCTGTTATCATATCTCATCTCAAATGTCAATATCAAATATCAAGGCAAAGCACTGAATGCAGCATCTTTCTTTTTATCGTATCCTGCAACTACGCTTCACCTTGTAAAACGATTTAATGTGAGACTGCATAGCCATCATAGCCAAGGTTTTCTGTGGGGTTCTAGGAACGAGGACAGGTCTCGGGTGCCTTCACATTCTCATGGAGCGACTTTATCCCCAACTCTTCGCTTTTGAGCTGACAGCCAGGCTGACAGCCATCTCAAAGTTTGGGCACGGCCGCAGCCCTTCAAAGTCTCGAGAGAACGGATAATGAAGTGCACAGCCTGCTTTGAAGAGCGTTGAAGAGCTTTGAAGCGAGGCAATCCTGGCTTACCCTTCGTCAAACGAAGCATCGCCAGACCACTTCAGACTGCGGTTTCCCAGCTCAGGGAGACTGCTGGTACCTTGCACCATCCTGGTCTAGAACAGAAGCGTCTTTGGGCTCCCCAGCCTGTCAGCAGAACATCATTCAAACAAAAACGTGCAGGCACAGCATCGAGTCTTGCAAATCCAATGTAAACCAGCGTAAAACATGAAAAAACCATGTTCGATGCAAGAAAGTTAAGAAAGTCTTCTAAATCCTTATCTTCATCTTTCAGATCTTATCTTGACTATCTCTGCACCTCCTACCTCAAGTGCCTCAATATCCTCAACAGTTCATTTTGCAAAACAGTTCAAAACATATTAATATTGAAACTATAGTAAAAGGTGCAGGGAAAAAGAAAAAATGAAAGCAAACCATGTCAACCACAATGGGCTGGGCAGCTGCAGGCCTCTGGATGATGGCTGCCTTGATTGGTGCAAGCATAGTATCAGTCAAATGAATGTGGTGAATAAAGACTTGGCTTGAAGGGAACCCAACGGAATTGTCGTTTCTGAAGGTTTGTGAGAGTTTTTGAAACATGTCCGCACCCAAATTCCATCTCAAACAATTGCACAGAATCATGATGTTTTCGAAACCTGCGTCCAAGATTCCGAGTGATGTCAAAATGAAAGGAGGTGATAGGCTGCTCCCCACAATCGTTCGCAGCGAAAGGTTCAATCCTCCTAGACCGTTCATGGCTCATGACGGAACCACTGTCAATGCAGTCAACTATGGCACACCATTGTGTGTACCATGAGCACTTTGCTGTACTTCCAACGTAAAACAAACAAATCGGATCGTCATGTTCCCACATGTTTCGTCCTGTCATTTCGAGCCATTTCCAGGCATAGCGCTTCCCCAGTTCGTCAGCAGCGGTACTTGAGAAGTGCAAGCGATCCCCCTGAAAGCATGTGAAAGGATGTGAAAGGACATTTTTGAGCTTCTGAATCCAAAGACGCCATAATCATATTACATCTGAGTAATCCCTTCCCCCTATTACTAAACCCCCCCAAATAATCCAAACTAGGGTCCATCTCCAATTTTGGAAAATTTCAGTTAGACTTTCAATTGATCCCTTGAAGAAAACAATTTAAAAATAAAGCTACTATTTGTGGGTTTCACCCCCTAATAATAAAAACTAGTCAACGCCGCGGTGTTTTTTATTAGGGTCCGTCCGATAATTTTAGGTTGTTTTTATTAAGGGTTTAAATTTATTATTAGGGTCCGCTTCGAAATCCAATGTTTGGCAATATTTTAATTGCGTCATAAAAGGAAATTCAATTGATTTTGAAATCGAAAAAAAAAGTTTTTTATTTAAGGGTTTATATTTATTATTAGGGTCTGCTTCGAAATCCAATTTTTGGCAATATTTTAATCGCGTTATAAAAGGAAATTTAATTGATTTTGAAATCGGTAAAATAGTTTTTTTTTAAGGGTTGAAAATTGGTTGAATTTATTATTAGGGTCCGCTTTAGTTCCCTAATAATAAATATCGCCCTACTAATAAAAACTAAGGTGTTTATTATTTGGGGGGGTTAGCAGTAGGGGGAGACTATTAGTTGGACCACGGCTTATAGACGCCCGTAGGTTTTCGTGCATTTTTTGACGTTTTCATGTGTTGTGTGGTCAACTTGTTCTTCTAACTTCTCACTAGTATTTGATTGGGGTCGTTCATGCCTGGACTTGTATTTGATGCTTCGTTGTTAACTTTGAAGAACTTCTAATTTGATGCTACGTTATCAATGCGGTCGTCTTACTTCTAAATTGTATTTAGGTTCTCAACCTGGTCTTCTTACTTCTACAACGTGTATTTAATGTTACGTTATTAACTTGTTTCACGAACTTCTAGCTTGTATTTCATGCTACGTTATTCACTTGGTCTTCTTACTTTTAACTTGTAGTTGATGCTACGTTATTACCTTGGTCTTCTTGCTTCTAACTTGTATTTGATGCTACGTGTTTAACTTTCTGGACAAACTTATAACTTGTATTTGGTGCTAAGTTGTCAACGACATGAAATCAATGCTTTTACCAGTGGCAGGAGGTATGAAACCAGTTTTACCAATGGCACGGCGACGTTCAGAGGCAAACAAATGCCTAATGCAGCCGGCACAGTGGAATTACGAGGAAAAAACTTCAGTTGACTTCGTCGTGCTGCAATGGTGTCACGGGCGGCTGTGAGCCGTAAACCTAGTTGCTATTGTTATGGTTACCGCTTTTGGGGAGATCCCTATCCCTTTCCAGAGTTTTGTGGAAATCAGCATATTCGAGATCCAACATGAAACCAAAACCCGTTCCTAAACAGGCTCGAAAATGAATCGAGGAGGCTATCGCCACCGCTAAATTATAATATGACATTGTTCGAAGGAAATTTGCCCCAAAACGACAGAGAGAGAGAGAGAGAGGAAAAAGAAAGAAAGAACGAAAGAAAGCCTTCTGTGGTGTCTGTGTGCAAGGCGCGGGGCTAAAGCACGTCTTTTGCCCAGGCGCGCTGTAAAACGGTAAAACCATAAAATGGTAAATTCCATTGTTCCCGAGGAATGCCCCGTAAAAAGGTAAAATGGTAAATTTACCATCTGAGCGTGCCGCTTTCGATCGTAGAACGGTAAATTTGGTAAATTTGCAAAATTTAGCGTATACCCGTTAAACAGCGAAAAACCGTAAATTGGTAAATTTGTGCGTTAAGCAAACATGTAGTTTCCCAAATTTCAAGGGAGTGCATTGTTGTTTGCACAGTATGTCTGCAGGCGATTCTTTCGCGCAACACATCTGCTGTCGCATGAAATGAGCTGAGATGAAATTGGCTCGGGCAAGGCGAGATGAGATGACCTGAGATGACCTGATGTCAGATGAAACAGAAAAAATTGGAAAAACATGAAAAAACAGAGAGCGTATGAGAGCGTGTAATGGGGCTGGATTTTGATTTTGGAAGAAGAAGTTTCTTGCCGTCACTTGCGGCCTTTCGAGCAGCATCAATGATGAATCTAATTTAAGTAAAAATCTTGGAGCATAGCCTCAATGATGTCAGAACATTGAAGAGAAGATCTTAGAGATTCCGAGCTGTAGCATCACTGATGGTTAAATTGAAGAGAAGATCTTAGAGCGTAGAGCCAGTAATGTTGGAACATTCAAGAGAAGATCTTGGAGCGTAGCATCACCCATGTTGGCAAATTGAAGACAATACCTGCCTAGCAGGTAGCATCAATGATGGTAGAAACTTGAAGAGAAGACCTTAGAACGTAGAGACCATGATGTTGGACAATTGAACAGAAGATCTTAAAACTCCGCATCAATGATGTTTGAAAACGGAAGAGAAGATCTTGGTAGCATCAATGATGCTCAAAAAAAATACCCTCAAGTACGAGCAGGTAGCCTTGAGGAAGATTTTAGACCCCCAAAGGCCCAAAAAGGTGTTTGAAATGATTTTCCCAAGGGGGGGGCCCTGGGGATCAACGAATTGTTTTTAGACCTTTGGCAGCTTGTTTTGGGAGGGTTCTGGAATCAAATCTTCGGAAATCAAGCTTATGATCCTAGAACCCCTTCATTTTGGAGCCTTTTTCTGTTGTCAAGAAAAGGATCAAAAATGCATCCAAGTAAAACCCACAATCTCACAGGCCCAATTGGCCGCCTGTTTCCTTTGCTCCCATGCTAATCCCCTCTTCATACTTCCTGGCCCCCCCAATTAACAGAAATAGATCCAGCTTGTCATTTTTGGGAAATTTCAGGCGGTCAGTTTGATCTTTAATTGATCGCCTTTTGAAAACAATTTTAAGAAGCAAGATCCCATTTGAGGGGTTCATCTTAATACTAAAAATTGATTGGTTGGGGACTGTTTAGTAATCGCGTCCCTGACGATCATTTCACTTTTTTGATGAGTACTTAAGGTGTTGATGTAATGTTCAGGGGAAAGCGTCGTAAACCAATTTTTGGCGATATTTTTTTCAAATAATTCTAAATATGGTCTAAATTGGTTAAATAAATATGTTTTAATAAGAGCTTTCTGGCACCCAACACCTTTCGGTTGATAAATAAAATTGTATTTTTATCATTGTTGCCCAAGGATTTTGCAGGATTGGGGATTGGGGAGTCCATATAAGTCATTACAAGTCCATATCTATGGCCCTTGCAAAGATAAAACCACAAAATGAGTTGGGAGATATCATTTCAAAACCTTGTGTATAACGATTGAAAGTTGAAGGGAAGATCTTGGAGAGTAGCGTAGCATCAATGGTGGAAAATGTTGGGAAAATTGAACAGAAGATCTAGAGGTGCACTGCTGTAGCAACAATGATGGTAGAAACTTGCGGACAGGATCTCTGAGTGCATTCCATGATGTTAGATACTTGAACAGAAGATTTTAAAGCTCCGCATCACAAGATGTATTGTGAGACCCAATGGAGACAAATTGTAAAAGCGTAAATCGTGAATGGCGTGTGCAAGCGAATGAAAGGTAAATTCATGTTCTGTGTGCATAGTGTGAGCAGGAAAAGGTGGTAAAGCCGTAAAAGCGTAAGACCGTAAAAGAGGTGTGGAAGCGAAGGAAACCAAAGTAAAATCCGTAAATTAGTAAACTTATGTTTTTCGTGGACAGCGTCAACAGGAGAAGACGGTAAAGCCGTAAAATGGTAAATGCGTAAAGTATCAATGTACTACAGCGTGAGGAGGAAGACGCGGTAAAACCGTAAAAGAGTAAATTCGTAAATTTGTATCATGACATTAAATTTACAGACTTACCAAATTTACCTTTCCCGGACACGGCAAAATTTACCACTTTACCGATTTACCCAATTTACCATGGCCCGAAGAGAGGCGAAGCGTTCTCTCCTTAGCATCATGCCTTACACAGTGACGGCTTATAGAAAGAAAGAAAGAAAGAAAAAGAGAGAGAGAGAGAGCGAGTATATAAGTTGCATGCCAAATGATATGGTAACTATGGTGACTGCAGGAAACAAGGCACCACAGGTTGAATTTCCCTCATCGGTTTTGCCCGTTCTGTGAATGTGCTTGGTTTACACCAAGTTTAATGGACTGTCGTGTATGGTCCCAGGTTATCGCTTTTGGGGGGGCCTATCGCTTTACAGTGTTCCGTGCACATCTCTGACAAAAAACTCTTGCAATACTAAAGTGGTCCTGTCAAGAATCCACAACATACCAAATTGTAGCAACACGTCATAGCACGTCTGTAAGATGTCCTTTAGTCTCCTTGTCTGCGCCTTGTGCTGAAGCCCTCTGGCACTCACTACACCGATGTGCTCACCACTGCTTCCAAACTTCACAATGGATGCATTTACAGTCTCCTCGGACTTGTACAGCAAGTCCGACATCAATTGAAGCAGTGAGAATTGAGAAGCAACGTTGAACATCCAAAACATGATACATCATGGTACATCCAACTATTGCAGAAAAACATGTTCAGCACACATTTCTGCTGAGATAGCGTCTGCGAACGAAAATCGTGGATCTTCCAAGTCCAAGAATTCCATCCCAAGCTCTCCAAGGATCAAGGGAACCTGATGGAACAATGTGCAAAACCAGAGCACTGCAATTCCGTCTGTGCAAGGACTTACCCATGCTGCAAGCTGCTCAGTAACAAGCTGGCAAGAAAGCCAAACCGTGTGGCAAAACTGCGCTCAATAGGTGATACGCTGTTGATATCAATTGAGCCCGATCACGTGGCCGAAGGCGGAACGCAAGTCTTCTGATAGTTGCTGCAAGCGATCAATGTAGAGACTTGCCATCTCTTCACCTAGGTTTTTTTGAATCACGTGTTTACATGCGGGAATGCTTATGTGGTGATTGAAGTTGGGGTCTGGGAAATTCTAGTTTCTTATATTTAAAAGACGTATATTTGCTTGAGCAGTGTCTGCAGATTCGGTTAATTGGTGCTTTGGTGCTTGGCACATCCAAAGCTGATTTCTTTGGTCTAGGTTTGATGGAGGTTTCATGGAATTTTCTTGGTTTTATCTGGCATAAAAATAAACAAAAAAAACTCCATCAATCATCAAATCTGCATCAAACTTGTGAGAGAAGTAGCATTTAGGACCGGATCATTTAGGTATGGCTATTAAAGAGGGATGGGGTTTGGCCTGTTTGGCCTTCTTTTTCGATGCCGTTTTCCCGCAGGTTTCTGACGGAAAATGTAAAGAAAACACCGTCAAACACCTGCAGGAAACCTGCATGATTTCCGCCTAAAAATTGACGAATTTTGCAACTCATCAGGGACCCGATTTGTGGCCGTCGTTTTCATGCAGGTTTCCTGCATATTTCCGACGGTTCTTTACCATCAGAAACCTTCAAGTAGGAAGTCTGCAGGATTTCTGCATCTGAATCTAAACATTGGCCAGAGTTTCACAAACTCATCAAAACGGTAATTTTTGGGTGTCGTTTTCATGCAGGTTTCCTGCAAGTTTCTTGCAGGTTTCCGACTGTTCTTTACCGTTAGAAACCTGCAGGATTTCTGCACCTAAAGATTGCTCAATTTTCAAAGACTTATGAGGCACCTAATTCTTCGGCGCCGTCTGTATGGAGGTTTGACGGAGGTTTGTTGGAATTTTCCTGCTCATTTTGTTTTTTTACCATTAGAAAATTCAATCAAACCTCCACCAAACCTCCATCAAACCTGCACCGCACTTTTCCTCATGTTCAAAATCAATCAGAAACCCATTTAATTTTTTGGGGGGCACCCGAGTTTTCTAGATTCAATTTCCCAGACCGTCACACCACCAACCTCAACCACCACATAAACATGTAGTGACCTGAGAAGGGGGGAACGAAAACCAGCTCTCATAATGAAAACCCCTGCGTACAGCAAATTGCCTGCGTGTAAGACCTGCAAAATTGAATTCCTCCAGTTGTAGCGTAGCCCTAGTTGCACCAAAAAAAATGAGGCAGACATCTTGAAACTCTGCTGGTGGCTTACGTGTCCTCAGTCCCTCGGGCAATATATTTTTTCCATCTAGCTATTTAACTGGCAAGAAACCGGACTGAGGGGAATCGATACCTACTACAGCAAATTTCCTGCTCACAACACCTTCAAAATTGGAGTTCCTCTGTTGGAGCAAACCGGTAAGCATCACGACTGAGAGCATTAAATTTCCTGCACAGAACACCTTCAAGATTAGAGTTCTCCAGTTGCAGTAACCTTGCAAGCATCACGACTGCGCGTAACCCCTTCAAAATGGGAGTTCTCCAGTGGTCGCCTTCCTAAAAGTCTGTCGGTCATCTACGCATCTCTAGTTTTTTAAGCAACATGTCTCGCTCTATCGATTTCTCTGACTGGCTACTTAGCTCACCCGGGAAAACCCAGACCGAGGAGGGAATCGATACCCTACCGCAGCAAATTTCCAGCGCGTAGCACCTTCAAAATTGGAGCTCTTGAAAGGAACACGCCGTTCTTGGCTTAACATAAGCTCAACATGGCTCAAATATGGCCCCAAAATAGCCTCCAAGAGCCTAACAGACATGGATCAACATAGACCCAACATAGGCTCCATATACGCCCAACAAGCCCCCGACATGATCCAAAATCGAAGTGTTCCTTTTGGGCCGGGTAAAGGATTAAAAAGGAACACGCCGTTCTTGGCTCAACATAAGCTCAACAGCCTCCAAGAGCCTAACATGGATCAACATAGGCCGAACATAGGCTCCATATACGGAGGTGGCACCGAGCCTCTCAGGTGGCACAGCCACGTGCAGCATGGCAACGGGGGTAGTCACAACGCAACAAAGTGTGCTATAGCGCTGCTGACTACTGTCACTATGCGTGCAACCAGAAAGTCAGAAAATACTGTATGTCAGAAGAACTTCTCACTCTATAGCAATCCTTCTGTCTACCATCCTATCAATCCATCTCTCACTCTATCCACTGGTCCATGTCTCCATCTCACATCAAGCGCGCTAGCTGTCATCCGCTTGTAGACAAAGAGAGATGACATGACGATCTACTTTCAGCACAGGCATAGCCAGGCATAGCTGTATGTCCGGTTGTCATTGCAGCCTGCTGCCGACAAAGCATCCATGACCTGTAGCCATTTAGCTATCTATCTAGCAACCTATCTG